GGCTGCAATATAACAAAGAGTGAAAAATTTAAGGGGGTCTGAATACTTTCCGTACCCACTGTATATATATATATATAGCTCTGTAATGCAGAATGTATTTCAAAAATAATACAAGAAAAAATAATATCCTGGATAAATATTTGTAGGATTATTAAAAGTTTAAAAATGATTAAATGCTCAATTGACTCAAATTTGCATAAAATGAAAATAAATTTAATGGATGTCTTTTCCCCTGATTCCTTGCTGGAAACACTTGTTTTTAATTTAATGTTTAAAGGGGTCATGACCTGCCTTTGTTTTTTATTTTGTACTGTTCTCTGAGGTACACTTATAATGTTATCAAGATTTTTACATAAAACACATCATCATTTGGAAGTAATAAGCTATTTTCTGTCCTGTTTTTAACCTCCTCATCAGAAGGCTCTGTTTAAATAGGCATGGTGGATTGTAGACTCGGAAGTAAACGCCCACTGCTATGATTGGCTAACAGTTTTATATGTTTGACAGCCTACATCCATAACAGATGGGCACTGCTGTGATTTAGAGATGGTCCTCACTGCAGAACACAAGATCCAGGGGGCGAGGTTGGATCCAGATCCAACTCCTCCCACCTTACATGTACCTAAACCTACCCGTCTCCACCCCTGATCCCTAAACCCACCCATCTCCACCCCTGATCCCTAAACCCACCCATCTCCACCCCTAAATATACCAATCTCCACCCCCTATGTGGATCCAACCACGCCCCCTGGATCTCCACCCCTAAACCCACCCATCTCCACCCCCTAGATGTGGATCCAACCCCGCCCCCTGGATCTTTGTGTGTTGCGACATTACTGCCAGATCCAATATAGTCGGTACATCAGTGTCTTTTAGTTTCAATCTTTCTAAAAAAAAAAAAACCACATCGAATTGTGCCTTGTTTGTAAACGAATCCACGGTAAAATGAAGTGAACAAAGGACCAAGTTCTTACTGTTCATGACCCCTTGAAGTAAACACATAATGTGCACCTTTTCTATTGTTATGCACTTCTACATTTTTTGTCATTTCTCTGTCAGTTTACCTGTGACCGGGAGGATCTGCTAAAATGTGTGGCTGGACAGTTGAATATTTCTGATTCGGTCACGCTGTGTCTGCTGTATAATCTGACTGGACTAGTAGAGGACCCCTTCGTCTTCTGTCTTGGGCAGCCTTCAGCATGTCCTTTACCCGAGGTCAGTGTGTGACCATCTGTACATATATGTCTGCACTGTGCATATATGCTCACAACAGTTTCTTGCTCACTGAGAACCATTAAAAAATGTTTTTTTTTTTAAGCAACCTTGTGCAAAAACTCAATGATTTATTTTGAAACTTTTATGATTTGGCCCCTGTTTTCATGGTAACAGTATGATGGTATGACTGGTATTGCTCCTGTGCTTCTAGTATTTCACATACAGTGTGCTGCTGACTCTGCTGTGCTGCTCAGTGTTCCTGCACATCAGCAGTATAGGCAAGCTGGTCCTCCTGCTCTTCATCCAGGTCTGCTTTCTGCTGCTAGTGGAGTGGCCTCTAGTCACGCTGCTAGACAACGCCGACCTGCTGGTCACCGCCAATGCAATGTGAGTGTTATTCTCTGCAAACATATAGAGTGGATATGTAAAAGTCATCTTGTAAGTCAATGGAATTAGGTCAATACTAAAATGACTAAAAAACTACAGCATCATCAATACAGAGTACAGACTCAGTTGCATATCTACTTATTCATAAAATATGTCTAATAAAATGAAACCGTATTGGCAACAAAAAGAGAACTACTGACTGCTTTTAATTTATTTCTTCATTCTTTTAAAAAAAAGTTTACTTGGAAAAAAATTTGTAAAATTTTTATGAATTAATATTTATATTAATATTTAACTCTTTAAATAATGGAGTGTGTTCTGAAGCATTTTTTGTTTTTGTTTTTTGCTGTGGCATTGGTTTTGATTTTGAGTTAAACATTTACATTTTGTGCCTTTTTTGGGGTTTAAGAACTGCTAAAATGGCCAGTGGTTGTAACACATTATTCACAATCATTAATTGTTTTTTTCCCACCATAAGAGTTTATCTTGACAGCCACTATATGTGTAATCATATATAATAAAAAAAAAAAAAATGAAGACTGCATATTATCAGTTTTCACTGTTTGAATCTTTTAGTCATTTTATTAAAGTTAAAGCAATATCAAGTTAAAGCATGATATTTTATTGTTATTTAACATTTTAGTTAAATGCTTTAAAAGTTAATGTAGAATTTTCCCATTAAAACAAATTAAAATGTAATAGTGATGAATGGGCACATGCAAATTGGACTGAAGTTACTTATAAAATGTAATAGCATTTAAAATCAGATTTCTTTTAAATTACTCTGTCAACAGGTTTAAATATATGAAATGAAATAATGTATATGTGGGGACACAAATGTGGTACACATAACCTTTTAATGTGAATGACCCATATTTTTCTGGGTGTTTATTTTTAGTGGGTCATGTTGGTCACTAATGGAAATATGTCTGTTTTTACGCAGGTATTCTTTCAATGAAACAAATTACTGGTGAGTTCATGTCATGCTTTATTTTGTACTACGATTGTAAGAGAGATGGTTCAAAGGCAGAAAGAACTTTATAATATGAGCACAAATTAGATTCCAATGTTTGCTTGTAGTGTGTATTTGTCTGCTCTTTTCAAAAACTATTTACTGTATATATGCAATTATATGAGAGTTGTGAGATTTACGAGAAAGATTGCTGTAGTATTAGCTACAACACAGAAACTTTACTCTACTACTCGTCACATTTTTTGCTCAGTCTCTGACAAACTCCAATCTGTATGTGTTGTTGTTTTCCCATATAGCCAGGAAACGGTGACTAAAGTGTCTCTGAGGGTGTCGATTCCAGTCATCCTCACTGTATTTGTACTGGCTCTCTATCTGCACGCACAGCAGGTCGAGTCTACCGCACGCCTTGACTTCCTGTGGAAGCTACAGGTGTGTAGTCCGTCTTTGAATCAATCGATCACTTAGCGAAAATACATTTCCAGTAGGATCCCAGCATAGTCGATGACTTATTCGCTGTCATTCTTCACCAGGCCACTGAAGAGAAAGAGGAGATGGAGGAGCTGCAGGCCTACAACCGTCGTCTCCTTCACAACATCCTGCCCAAAGATGTGGCTGCCCACTTCCTCGCGCGAGAACGTCGAAACGATGAGCTCTACTATCAGTCATGTGAATGTGTGGCCGTTATGTTTGCCTCCATAAGCAACTTCTCAGAGTTTTACACTGAACTGGAGGCCAACAATGAGGGTGTGGAGTGCCTGAGACTGCTCAATGAGATCATCGCTGACTTTGATGAGGTAAGAACGTTGTGTCACTTGCTTCTGAAATGGAAGTATCATTTTGGGATGTCAGAATTTCAGAAGACTGTTTGATTTTGCAGTAGTCTTTGGCTTTATACTGACACCTACTGGTGTGGAGACAAATGCTCCATGTAAAAGCAAATGTTTTGGTTACCAATGCCACTGTATAAGTTATAGTATTATAGTATAGTATTATAAGTTACAGTATTCGTCATGCATGATTAATTTACTCCATGACCAAATGCGTTTTACAGTTTGGAGGTTACCAAGACAAAGCAAATAAAACATGGCTGCCACCAAAAGGGGTGACCACCTTTATGTAGAAATTAGCTTTTATAAATCTTATGTTCTGTACTGTTAATAGATCATTTCTGAAGAGAAATATAAGCAGTTGGAGAAGATCAAAACTATTGGTAGTACTTACATGGCAGCATCTGGATTGAACGGCTCGACTTACGACAAAGAGGGCCGCACACACATTCTAGCTCTTGCTGACTATGCTATGAGGCTACGAGAACAGATGAAGTACATCAACGAACACTCATTCAACAACTTTCAGATGAAGATAGGTAAGTAGGTGAACTTTCACCGTGAACTTTGCCTCTTTGCCTGATCGATTTTAACTTAGAAAGGGCAAAGACAGTGTTTATGAATTGGCTTGCAGACGCAGAGGCTCAGGAGTTTGTTAGAGCAGACAGTGAAAAATTTATTTTCACCACAGGTTTGAACATTGGGCCAGTGGTTGCTGGTGTGATTGGAGCCAGAAAGCCTCAGTATGACATATGGGGCAACACAGTAAATGTGGCCAGTCGCATGGACAGCACAGGTGTTCCTGATTGTATCCAGGTAACCACAACATAATAAACTCTTTGCTTATACAAGACTATTTTTGGTAAACACACAGCTTAGAATCCCCCATTAATTTCCTTCTTCAAAAGTGCAACACTATACATCGATTACTATGTGCAACATTGTATTTATAAAGATGGTGCTGCCCTCTCTCTTCATGTTACTGCAATTGCAGCTTGTAAGAGCTTTTTTGTGACTTTTTAGCTACTTAGTTAATGCTTAAAGTGAAATGAGAAATTTAAAAATTAATTAAAATTTCTAAATGCTTTTCTTCTCCAGTTAAATGTGTAGAATTAACGATAATTTTGTTAGTTGATTTCCCTGAAGAGTGTAAACACGGACTCAGTGGTTGTTTAAAAACATTGCTCTGTTTGTTTGAGCATCTCGACCAGCCTGGCATAGCAACAGTGGTTTAACCAATGGCCTGAGTTTGGGGTGTGGCTATGTTTATCCAACCAATGGCAGACAGTTGAATTGGCCATTTGAAAACTAACTTTATTTTTGCATTTCTCTTTGGTTTTGCACACCTCATCTTTAGTTTTTGGCTAATTAGAATTCAGTGTGTAATGATTATGATGTTTTTCTTTATTTCCTATAGGTGACCACTGACTTATACCATGTACTAGAAAGTAAGGGCTACCAGCTGGAGTACCGTGGACTGGTGAAAGTGAAGGGGAAAGGAGATATGGCCACTTACTTCCTCAACAGTGGTCCTGTCTGCAGTTAACACTGACCAAATGCCTCTCAGTGCACTGAAAAGAAGGAAGGACAACAAAAGGCTCTGAATGGGATTTGAGCAGTTCCAAATATAACCACTCACTCAAGTTTTCTAGCTCACAAGCATTAGTGGGCACATGTGGTATTTATATATGCACCTATTGGGAATAATGAGGTATGCTCTACCTAAAAGATTTGATGAAGAAGTGTTGCCTTAGATGGAGAAGACATTGAAGAAAGTTTGGTTTTATTTTTTATTTTGTGGGAAAGACTTCTTCCATACCAAAATTTGAATTCTTTATTTATTTTGACAGGTTTTAAACCATGTAAATAAAAAATTATTATATATGCAAGCATCAAGAAGCAAGAAGAAACTGACCAAAGAACAAAGTATTTGATATAGGAACACTACACACGCCTGGTAAACTGTTTGAAATGTCAGAACAAATGTTATTCATTTCTCTGGTTTTCCTTTTTTGGCCTCCTGTCACTCTCTATCTACCACATTGTATTCTATTATAAACACTAAAGCAAAAAACATCTGTCTTCATTGAAGGCCTTAGAAACAGAAATCCTAATACAAGTGACTTGTATTTATAGTTCGTATGATTTATGAGTGATCAACATGTTTTTCCCTTTTAGTATTTGTGTACAAATGAGGTAAATGAAGGACGAGAATGGTACTGGACACATTTTCCTTGGTCATTTGTTCATGTGTGTGGACGGTGTGTAAATGTGTGTCTGTTATCTTTAAAAGGGCATAATAGCTCACTGTGAGGTTTATAAAATGCATTTCAAAGCTTTTTTTGCCAGATTAAGTGCTAATTATATTTAATTCTTTGCAGTTCAGTTGTTAACTGATGTCATTTCCTTCTCATTTGAGTGTTACACAAATTTCAGCTCTTAATTCATTAATGTATAAATCAGTGAAAAAAATGAACCCAAATATGACCAAGACCTCATAAAATTCCAGCACAGTATGGTCCGCAACGGTTTAGTCTTCTTAAGACCCTTGTAAATATGTGTAAATGCGCTGACAGAGGCCCGTTGGGTTTAGCGGTTGCTGACAAAAGTGGCTGGACTGCAAAGTTGTTCGTTTGACAGTGTTCAGCATAAGTCAATTTCAGCATTTCCTCATGAGCGCTCTTAGTCATGCTTGCACATTTGTCAACATTTTTTTTAAATTATGCAATTACCGGTCAAACGCATAGGTTAGCGCTGCTGCAGAGTATTTTTGTCATAATTCTGGAATATACCATTCCCACTGAATAGATGCATCTTGATTGTGTTGCAAGAAACATCCTTCAGACCTTCACCGTCCTGAACATGAATTTCCCAACGTGAATGTATATGTATGTTTAACATTCTCACTTTGTCATAGACGTAAAAGCACATATGGTTTTTAGTTCAAATATGTTTGTGGTACATGGACCTTTCAGGACCTTTTTCATTAAAAGGTGGCAAATCAGTAAATTGTGTGTTTTATTTAAGCATAGACTTGTGCCGGTATTCGGTAATGCTTTAAATGTTCAGTTATTTTTGTTATAAGAAAAAAGTTATTAAACCTGTTATACTGTATTATGACAGCCCTTTTTTTTTTAAAACTAAGTTTCAATATCGTGATAATACCGTATACCGTGATAAAAGCATTAGCAATTAATCGCAACATGAAAATTTGATACCGGCATATCCCTATTTAAGCATAATGTTATCTGTATCCAAACAACACTAGTTTGTGCAATTTGTCATTCATTTCTTCTCATTTTAATTACAAGTGGACATACAGGCCACAGTCAGTATAAGCTGGACAAAAAGGTTAAATATTAGGCACTTTCCAAAAATATGGTATAAAATCGAATCTAAAATACTTTTCTTAACAAGTGGTCAGTGAAAGCATAACCTTCAGAAGTAAAGCTTATTGTCAACCTCAGGAGGGCAAGCTAAATTTTATCTATTCATTTTCACCATAAATGTATAACCGTATCAATGGTGTGCAAAATCTGTCACTCTGCTACATGTAACCTACATATGACGTTTTTATTCATTAAAATTAGTTAAATAAAAATTATTTTTCAGAAATTAATGAAATATGATTTAAAAAGATTGTTTTTTGGATTCGTTTTTGTGCTAGGTTCATTTTGTTAGATATTTTATTGAACATAATAGGTAGGCATGTGAACATGTGAAGTAACGAATATTGTGTAGGCTACATCATTTGGAGCGTGCCATTTGTTAAACCGTTAAAAAGGTTTCCTTTTATTTTCAACCTTTATACTGTACATCAAGAGAATTTAATACCTCAAAACGAAGCTATCGGGTAGTCAGACAGGCCATTGTTGGGTGTGAGTGGCTTTAGTGATTGTTGTGTTAATGGATTCTTCTCTTTGTTCATGCTCAGCTTGCTGTCTTTTCTTCAAGTAGCGGCAGTCTCATGTCAGTCGATAGTTTGTAATCACGATTCTCTCCTACAGAAGTACCGACCCCATTTCCTCTTGGCCTGCCTTTCTCAAATGTCTGAATAAAATCTGTATTCGGTTACACGTACGCGACACAAGAGGCATTGAATTTAATTGCATCCCAGTTAATAATTTATATACGTTGAGGTATAGTTTGTTAACTTACCACATCCTTTTCTGAGCCTTAATTAAGTAATCAACGTCATCCAATTTTAGACAAGTGCAAAGCAACACTGAAATCTCCCTACATGTTTAGCAGAATTTTCACTTGGCTGAAAAAAACCTGTCATCCCACATTTAATAGTGTTGGGTCGTTCTTGAACGATTCGTTCGTTTTGAACGAATGATCAACGTTTGCGTAAGTAGTAGACATATTAGGGAAGTAACACGTAACATTTTAATTATATTTTGTTAAAATGAACGAAATGAACGAAATGACTCGAAAAAAGATTCGTTCATTTTGCTGAACGAGACTCAAAGGTCCGAGTCGGTAAAATGATCCGAACTTCCCATCACTAACATTTAAGTAATTTGTTGAGCGAATTGCTGTTTTTGAATGAATCTTTAAAGTGAATCATTCTCGTTCACTTCCATGGACTGAACCATTTAGTTTCAATGAATCTCTCCTTTGAAGCGTGTCTGCTTTTTACTTGTGAGGAGACGCTTGTGATGCTCAGGGTTGCCAGGTCTCAGAAAAATTTCCAGCCCAAAGCTTACTCAAAACCCGCCCAAAAGGAATGAAAACTAGCCCAATTTTTTGCCCTGTCCAATCATAGCTGTCAGCAGCTTTATTTCATTATTGCCCTTTAAAATAAACATTTTGATTTTATTTATTCTATGTTTTGAATTTTAGCCAGACTTGTTTATATGTAGTATGCACATATGAAATTATTTAATCTGTATTTTCTTTTTTTATTTTACCATTTCTTTCATTTTTAATTTGATATGTCCAGAAATAATTATGACAATATTTTTTCCATATCATATCAATATTTATCAGAATATTCATTTATCAGAATATTCATTTACCATTATTATGGAAGGAAATGCTTTGAGAATGCATGTAAACACACACACACACACACACACACACGCGCGCGCACACACACACACACACACACACACACGCACACACACGTACGTAGTAGTAGTAGTAGTATTTTTTTCATAAATTATTTCAAGCCACCATTTAATTTAGGGCCCCATGAAATTCACTTTATTTTCCCCTAGATTCTGTGTTTTCCATTTTATTTATTTTGTGTTTATACAAATTTATCATGATAATTCCTGTCTAAAACCTTTAAAAATTTAATCAGTCTTTTAAAATATAATATAATATCCTATAATATATAACAATTAATTTACAACCAAAATATTGCATTTCTATTTTTGTCAAATAAGATGATGTACGACAAAACTGTATGACCCCCACCCACACACACACACACACGCGCGCGCACACACACACACACACACACACACACGCACACACACGTACGTAGTAGTAGTAGTAGTATTTTTTTCATAAATTATTTCAAGCCACCATTTAATTTAGGGCCCCATGAAATTCACTTTATTTTCCCCTAGATTCTGTGTTTTCCATTTTATTTATTTTGTGTTTATACAAATTTATCATGATAATTCCTGTCTAAAACCTTTAAAAATTTAATCAGTCTTTTAAAATATAATATAATATCCTATAATATATAACAATTAATTTACAACCAAAATATTGCATTTCTATTTTTGTCAAATAAGATGATGTACGACAAAACTGTATGTTTGATATTAAAACACGGATGAAAAACATTTGGGTTGAATGATATTCCGTACAAATATAGAATTAGCCTATTATTTTGAGACGTTAATTTTACTATAGCATAATCAGTAATATATTTCTGTTAAGATTTCTTCGGATTTGTCGTGAAATTTTTCAAATAATACGGTGAAAAGCCCTCTCGGAGATGCTCTGGAGATAAAGTTCATAAAGTGCGACGCAAACGCAGAAATCACTGTGAGCTTCACGTATATTTGAGTTTGTGTAGTAGACAAAACTATGATATTTAAACAGGGACACGCAGAACATGCAGACTTATAAGCGACATGCTTTGACTGGCTGTTGTGTTCATTTCTGCTGTGTAAAAGCCTTCAATGCTCTGGGTGAAACTCACATAGGCTACTAGTTTGTGATGTGACATCCGCCTCTCCGTTCTCAAGTTGCCAGGTATATATATTCCAAGTATAATACACATTAGTAAAAGGATCTATTTTCATTTTTATTTGTCTATAGATACACTTTGGACGGCCGCTGTACATTATAAAAGTAGCCCAAAAAACCGCAACCCGCGGCTCTTAAATTTTCCCCCGACTGCATTTTCAAAATAGCAAACCTCAGAAAGTATCCGTGAATGAATCTTTTTGGTGAACACGAACACACTCAACAGATTCGAATCACTGAGGTGAATCAAAATCCCCATAATCACTAGAAGGAACTTCCGGCTTTAGGACCCAGACGACTTTCAATCATTTGAACGAATGGCACCTGTTGCGTTCAAAGGGAAGCCGGGACGGAGGCCAGTGCTGCTGGTCGCGTGAAATCGTCGCGCGCTTGGTGAACCAAATATCTCTAAAACGCGAAGTTACAGAGTAACAACATCCGTCCATCGACTCGCAGCTCAAACAAACAGTGTCTCGTTAGACGAGGAACCGCGTATCTATCTGCCTCTGGGAGAGGCACATGATTGACTGAAATTATTACAGGTAAGTTTTGAAGATTTAATTAAATTAGTTATTTATTTGTTTCGACGTGTTTCGCGTCATGTCTTTTGTCAACAAAAATAACCTCGGCGTATCTTCCTTTCCTCCTTGATATGAGCGGCTTTCATCTTTATTTTTAATAGTATAGGTTACCCTTTTCTAACACACACAAGCTCGTTTGTCGTTCGTTATTCTCATTTATTCGAAGATAAGGCCCATAGAAGGCTGGGAAAGGTTAAAATTTGTGTCATACTGTAAATATTTTAACAATCATATATTCTTCACTCACTTCCTTATCTATTCAGATAAGTTTCGCTTAGTTGTCATGTTGCGTGGCATTATCTTTTTTGTTTAAACTTTAAGGAAGTGCTTGGGGTTTGTGAAATTTTCGAAACACTCACATTATTCAGTAAGGAAAAATGCAGCTTAACCAATATAGGCTATGTTACTTCATAACTTGTGGTTAATAATGTCCATTTGAGCTCATAACCATTCAAATGATTCAGTATTAATGCAGGAGAACCAGTTTTAGTTTGAATGATTGGGTAAGTCTGAACACCTACGCAGAAAAATAGCAGAAGTCGGTCTGACTGTCTCTGTTGGCCATTACCCGTCTTGGGATTTGTGATGTAGATGTTTTTAAATAGACTGGTTCCATGGGCACTGAGGTTACTGATTCATTTAACACCATAAGTTCCATTGTCCTGACATTTCCTATTTTGAAAGTAATTACTTGAGGTTGAAATGCAAGAATGGTAGTGCTTTAAATGTGCCAGTCTTGACCATTAAACTCGTACCAAGCAGTTGGTGAGATCCAGTTTTTTTTCCTGTACAGTTAGTCAGATCACAGGCGACGTGTCACAGTTTTGAAGTGTATTTATGCAAAGCTTCCAACGCCACCCATTAAATGTAGTGGGAGTGTGCGGTGAGCCACCTGCTGCCACGTGGATCCTGCAGGGCGAAGGAAGGATCAGGTGCAGAGGGTGTTTGTTGTCAGGTGAGGTTTGTTTGCTCTGTTGCTGTGATCCGTTTGAGAGTCCACAGTGCAGGCTTTCTTTGCTAATTAAGAGTGGGGCATGGGTTGCTTTGTGCAGTTTGTGTAAATGAACAATAATTTTCCTTCATAAGTGATCAATGTGGTCTGTTTTCACAGTTTGGTGATTGAGATTGGCCAACAGAATGCGTCTGAGACGTCGTCTCTCCCCCCTGAAGCTTACTATTCTGGGTGGCACACTTTTTATGGTCATTCTGGTGGTGCTCCAGAGGGACGTTGGCAGCGGCTCGCTTCAGGACCCCTGGCTACAAGATCTCTCTAACAAAAAGGAGAGGGTATTCGAGATTGTCCGCGGGGCGGTTAATAACTTGGCCTTCCAGATCGGAGCCCCACAGCCCCCGTCGGTGGGAGTGCTGCCCACCCCGGACCGAAATTGCCCCCCGGGTTTCTACACTCAGGCCGATCTCAAACCGTGGATTGAGAGACCTCCTCAGGACCCTCAAGCACCAGGAGCCAATGGCGCAGCCTTCCAGAAAGCCAGCATGACTGCGGAGGAGGAGAAGGAAAAGCAGGAGGGCATGACCAGGCACTGCTTCAACCAGTTTGCCAGTGACCGAATCTCCTTGCACCGCAGTCTTGGAGATGACACCCGTCCACCCGAGTAAGACTAACAAAAAGGAGAGGGTATTCGAGATTGTCCGCGGGGCGGTTAATAACTTGGCCTTCCAGATCGGAGCCCCACAGCCCCCGTCGGTGGGAGTGCTGCCCACCCCGGACCGAAATTGCCCCCCGGGTTTCTACACTCAGGCCGATCTCAAACCGTGGATTGAGAGACCTCCTCAGGACCCTCAAGCACCAGGAGCCAATGGCGCAGCCTTCCAGAAAGCCAGCATGACTGCGGAGGAGGAGAAGGAAAAGCAGGAGGGCATGACCAGGCACTGCTTCAACCAGTTTGCCAGTGACCGAATCTCCTTGCACCGCAGTCTTGGAGATGACACCCGTCCACCCGAGTAAGAATGGGCACATTGTTTGGCACCATGAGAAAATGTGGAATACAAACAATTCATTCAATTCGGCAACCAATCTGCCATAATAATGATTCCCTTCATAGGTTAAAGTAAGGCAGCACTCATGACGTGTTATAATGTTTGCTGGCATTTTAGATGCCTTTTAATTTACGTTGACTCATTTGGTCTGTTTACACCGAAACATAAGGGTGCAGATTTATCTGTTGATTTAAGGGCTGGGGCTAAAGCCATGTAAATGCTGCCCAAACACTCATTGTAGATTAGAGTCCTTACTGTTTTGCTGCTTTGGCAGTTTCTAATCACACCTTCACCTGTTGCATCATTGAACAATAGGTTGACGTGTTATGTTTCCCTTTGAATCTTATCATATTTAAACACTGTGTTAAGTAACAGGCCTTGAGTAATTTGCATACGTCCTCATATTTATAATACTGATAATTACAGTGTTTAAACATGTATTTTGAGAATTATGTTTTAGAATATTACCTTTGACTTTGAGGCGCGTATGTTTGTCAGGGTTATTATAGTTAACTAAAACGAAACCATAAAAATGCTTTCATTATTTGGGGAAAAAACTGAAGTGAAATATAAAACAATGAAACTTCTTTTATATATGCTAAAAGGCAAGATGAGATTTCTCATTTACATTTAGTTTAACATGATATACCAAAAATATAATTTTTTTTAGACATAATTAAACTAAAAGAGTATATATATGTTCATACATACACACACACACACACATATATATATATATGTATGTATGTGCAAATATGTGTGTGTGATTTTTATTTGTTTATTTGAGTTTACGTGTGTATATATAGTACACACATATAATTTTCTTTTTCATGCATCCATTATAGGTGTGTTGAGCGAAAGTTTCGCCGATGTCCTTCACTCCCCACCACGAGTGTGATCATTGTGTTTCATAACGAGGCATGGTCAACACTTCTGCGCACCGTGTACAGTGTTCTGCACACCTCCCCAGCGGCCTTCCTCAAAGAAATCATACTGGTGGATGACGCCAGCATGGCAGGTGGGCCCGGCCTTATCAGTTTATGCTGTAAAAATTAACTACCTGTTAATCTATGTTCTTGGCTCAGTGGCAAACAGTTTTATTTAGTGGAATGTCACTTGTATGAGTGCATCTTCAGGTGGATGAAAAATGTCACAAACATACAGTAGAAAGATCAAGGAACCAGTTAAGGATGCAGAAAAAAAAACTGTCTGAGGGAACATAAATGAAATCATATTGCATTGTAGAGAAAATATTAATATAAACTTACTGGCAATGAAAAGTTAATCTGCAAGTAAGTACTTTAAATTTTTCTCCTCATTAGATTAGTTGTTCTCATTAATCTCCTCATTGGTTTTAGGTACTTTGTTAGTGCTGTAAGTGATAAAATAAAGGAAGTGTGTTAGTTCGTTTGAAGTCTCACCACAGGAAGCAGCATGCTCTGAATCTATTTTTAGACATTGAAAAATGCCACGTTGAAAACACTTGACAATTGACAATGTTAATCTTATGCTCTACAGTTGAAAATTTTGGGGTTGCAAGTCATTTATCCTCATTAATTATTCATCAAAAATACAGTAAACCAGTAATATAGTGAAATACTATTATATTAAATGACCAATTTATATTAAATAAATTATAATAAATAACCAACGTTTTTGAATTTTTAAAATCAAATTAATTTCTGTGATGGAAAAGCTGAATGTTCAGCAGCCATTACTTCAGCCTTCAGAAACCATTCAATTATGCTGATTTGGTGCTCAACAAACTGGATTATTTGAAAAATTGTATAAGAACAGCATTTATTTGAAATCTAAATATTTTGTAACGTTATAAATATATTTACTGTCAATTTTTTATCAATTTAATGTACCCTTGCTGAAAAAAATAATCTCAAACCAGGTATTATTGTTATATTGATATTACTGGTACTTTACAATACAGAAGAAACAAAAAAAACAAGATGACATTAATGTCTGTCTTCTACATTTGCTCTTGTATGTTCTTGCAGAACACCTCCATGAGAAGCTGGAGGAGTATGTGAAGTCACTGAATATCGTGAAGGTAGTGCGTCAGCCGGAGAGGAAGGGCCTCATCACCGCCAGGCTTCTCGGAGCCAGCAAAGCTCAGGGAGAAATCCTCACCTTCCTAGATGCTCACTGTACGTATGTCATCACTTTTCATGACTTGCCCAGCCCAATTCCATTGTCTCACACAGCAGACCAGTTTCTATTAACACGTCATTAACATCCATCAGTCTTGTTATTTTTTGCGACTGGATGGAAAGTAGTTTTTCAGGAACCTGCTCTTCAGGTGCACAGGCATGAGCTTAAAGTGGTTACTCCCATGATTTTTTTTTTTTCTTCTGACACTCATGTCATTTGCAAAGTTATGCGCTGTGACAAAGGACTAGTATGTGATGCTTATCTTGTTCACTTTGACCCACTGTAGGCGGGATTGAAGCCTAGCAACTCATGTTACACCTGCGTAGTGTTTTCTGATACCTTGTATATGATGAAAGGGTTGAAAATGTGACATGTCATCTTAGCATATGTGCTTGAGTAGCATATTTATGAACTCTCTTTTCTCTTTTGTCATGTTTTTGTTGTTACAGGTGAGTGTTTCCCTGGCTGGCTCGAACCTCTTCTTGCTCGCATTGTTGAGGAGCCCACTGCCGTGGTGAGCCCTGAGATCACAACCATTGATTTAAACTCTTTCCAGTTCCACAAGCCCATGGCGTCTGCCCGTGCCCATAACAGAGGCAACTTTGACTGGAGTCTCGGATTCGGCTGGGAGGCCATTCCAGATTACGAGAACGCTAAACGCAAAGATGAGACGTACCCAGTAAAGTAAGTCACCATGTTTTATTTACATATTTAACCTTGCTCAAATTACAGTTTTATGTCTTCGTGTTGTTGTGATTGACACATCAATAATTACCTTTCCCAAGTCAGGTTTTTTCCCCAAAAATTTACTCACCCAAAAGAAATCCTGACGGGGATTAGATGGTGTCTCGTATTACTCTGAAGGTTTTTTTTGTGATTATAACCTGGGCATTATCCTGTTTGTTTACTTGTTACTTGCTAAAATACGATCAAACCACGATCATATTTTGCACATGTTTTGCGCAGCTTGTCGGTGAACAACGGCTCTGTGTAGTTAATGCTGCTCAATGTGAAAGCCCACACGTGATGGAGATTTACCGCTGATTACAGAATGGCTTTACTGATAAGATGCGTGTTAAATATCGCATGCGATTTATCGTGCAGCCCTAGAAATATTGATGAATCAGAGAACCATGTAATGCAAAGTTATGAGATGTGTGATTTACATTTGTTCTGTCTAAGTATTCTGCTGCACCTAAACATGATGTAACTGCTGGAAATTCACTGTGATTTGTTACTTTGCCTTTTACACACTGTGGTGTGTTAATGAAATGCTTGGAATTTTTTAAACGCTGTTCATTCATCACCAGGTTCTTCCTGTCGATCCGATTTTCATGAATGAAATGACTTGGCTGGTTGTATCAAGTTTCACTGAGTATCAAATTAACCACTTTCTCTGAGTTTACTATGGCCATGTCTTAAAAGAGATTACTAAGATTAGGCTACATGTGTCCTCAGCTTATTAAACAGCCTATACTATCATAAAGTACTTCATTCATAACCTTTTTTTCATACTGTATGCGGCCGTCTTGAACAAGTGCAGCAGAATTGCACATTTAAAGGGTTAGTTCACCCAAAAATGAAAATTCTGTGATTAATTACTCACCCTCATGTCGTTTCAAACTCGTAAGACCTTCGTTCATCTTCGGAACACAAATTAAGATATTTTTGATGAAATCTGAGAGCTGTCTGACCCTGCATAGATAGCAATGCAACTGAAATATTCCCAGATCCAGAAATGTAGCAAGGAGATTTGTAAAATAATCCATGTGACATCAGTGGTTCAACTACTATTATATGAAGCTACGAGAATACTTTTTGTGTGCAAAAGAAGAAAAAAAAAGACTTTATTCAACAATTCGTCTCCTTCGCATCACCCTGGTGCCATTTTGGAGAATATGTGAATCTGTGTCAGCTGCGTCACGCCGGCTCTGTTTCCTACGTTGTTGTGATTTGATCTGAACGGAAACAGCGTATCCATGTGACGCAGCTGACACAGAACAGCATTTATTTGAAATCTAAATATTTTGTAACATTACATTTACGGTCAATTTTTTTTTTTTATTAATTTAATGTACCCTTGCTGAAAAAAATTCTCAAACCAGGTATTATTGTTATATTGATATTAATGGTACTTTAATATCTTTTTTTTTGCATACCAGTGATTTTTCTGAACGGAGTTGAAAAGTAATAGGATCTGACACCTGCTCTCTGGCTACTAATCCTGCTAATTGTATTTGTCCTGTTCTTTCTTTCAGAACTCCAACATTTGCCGGTGGTTTGTTCTCTATATCTAAGGCCTATTTTGAGAAAATTGGGACCTACGATGACAAAATGGAGATATGGGGTGGAGAAAATATCGAGATGTCTTTCAGGGTCAGTTCCAGCTCTTCAGAATTCACCTGCAGCCATAACAATGAGATCTGTTAAAACGTGGGTGTGTTTTGTGCTGTCAGGTGTGGCAGTGTGGCGGACAGTTGGAGATAATCCCCTGCTCTGTCGTGGGTCATGTGTTCCGCACCAAGAGTCCTCACACCTTTCCCAAAGGTACAGAGGTCATTACACGTAACCAGGTGCGCTTGGCTGAGGTGTGGATGGATGACTACAAACTGATTTACTATCGACGCAGCCAAAGTGCAGCTAAAATGGCCGAAGATGTAAGAACTGCTTTCGCTTTCAGAGGATTCAAATATTTACCTTGTGTTTGTGGTTATGTAGTATATCTACTGTACCTGTAAGCAAAGAGCATATTATTAACTGCATGACTTTTGTTTCCTGTATGGTTGTGTAGAAAAACTACGGTGATATATCTGACCGTTTGAAACTCCGAGAAACCTTGCAATGCAAGAACTTTTCTTGGTACCTAACCAATGTCTACCCAGAAGCCTTTGTCCCTGATCTTACCCCTGTCAAGTTTGGAGCTGTAAGTGCAACATTTATGACGATGAGCCATTTTTAATACAGTCTGAGACTAACCGTTTATTTTTTTTATTTGTGTGTGTAGCTCAAGAATAGGGGATCACAGCAATGTCTGGATGTTGGAGAAAGTAACAATGGGGGAAAGCCTGTGATTATGTATGTGTGTCACAACATGGGCGGCAATCAGGTATAGTACCATCACTCATTCACGTTGATATTAAGATATCTTGAGGGCATTTTGACTATGGTTTTCTTCTTGATCAAAAGAGAACGGATGTTCATCATGACGTGTTTGTTTTCAGTACTTTGAATATACATCACATAATGAGCTGAGGCATAACATAGGGAAACAGCTCTGCCTGCACACGTCTCCTTACCCAGAGCCAGTGAAGATTGAGCTCTGTACACTGAAGGGCAAAGGCAGCAGTTTGACTCCGGAACAAGAATGGGTGTTCACAGAAGTAAGTGTCCTCTCAGAACAGAAATGAATTACTCAACTGGTCTTTCTTCATTTTTGCTGTCTCCATTTGTTATCAGATTCTACGTATGTCCCCTTTTACTTATTGTCTGTTGCAATCCTTTTTAAATATGTTGTATTTAAAAATGGTATAAATGTTGTATATTAATGTAAACAGTGATCAGGTTTTTATTTATTTTAATGTTTGTTTGTTTTTTTCAGTTCACCAATGAATACGTTTTTATTTTGATTTTATGTATTTAAATTAATCGTTTTATTTCGTAAGGATGCATTAAATTAATCAAGTAACCGTAAAGACATTTATAATGTAGCCAAATATTTCTATTTTAAATAAATGCTGTTCTTTGGAACTTTTCTGTTCATCAGAGAATCATGAAAAATAGGCACCAAATCCGCTTATTAGAATGATTTCTGAAGGATCAAGTGAATATTTCACAGTATAACTGTTTTTGTTATATTTTGGGATCAATGCATACAGCCTTGGTGAGAATAAGAGACTTCTTTCAAACACTTTTAGAAATCTTACTGTCCCCAAATTTTTAAACGGTAGTGTGCTGTGTATGTTTATATTATATTAGAATGAATAATTAAAAATCCTGTCATTAAATAAAGGGTGAGTATACCAAATACAGCATTCAATATGCTGATATTCATGTTAAATTTTCAGGTCAACTTTTCACCTAAATCTGAGTTTAAATTCCTGTGATCTGATAGTTTTACCCCATACAGACGAGTAACTAGTTTTATTTTTTCTTCATGTTATGTTTATTTTAGGAGGATCTGCTGAAGAATCCATCCTCTGGAAAGTGCCTCCATAAGAAAGGAGACAAGATATTAATGAGCCCCTGCGATCCAGCAGACCATCACCAGCAGTGGGCTTTCAGTTGACCTCACACTCCAATCAAGGAGCAAAGACGTTCACTCCCATAAGACACACGAGGGAGGGCCAGCAGCCACAGCTCAGGCTGACAAACTCACTGTAGGCCTGAGCGGATGCACTGGGAGTGTATTGGATAGTTCATATCCATAAGCTCCTAAAGACATTATGATCAGACTGGGGTCAGGATGCTCAGGGAAGACAGAGTGGAGATCATGCACATCAACCCACTGGAGCATCACAGAGTGAACAATCCGGCAGCAAGATTGTTTACTTGATGCAATGTATTGCCTTATTGATGATGTTTACTGCTGCTTTTAAATGGTGTAGGTTTTATTTATTTTTAAAGAAAAGAAAAATATTTTTGGAACATTGTTAGTGTTAAGGCCAATGAACGGCCGGCCTTGCCAACAATACATGTGATGTTTGTATGATCCCAATCATTTGCACATGCTGCAGGGGATGAGGGTTTTCTTCAGCTCTAGTGAACTGTCACAAGACAGCAGTAGTTTCAGATCCTTCTCTTGTGTTTTTGAAGCCGTCAGTATGTATAAAGCACTATTTGACTTGCATTGCTTGATTGTTTCAGTGTGCTGAGGTCTTTGGGGGAAATCATGGTCTAATAATGTATTCATGTAATTAACTGTTTCATCCTCTTCACATTATTATTCTTTATGAATTTTGACTACACAGATTTATTCTTTAATAATTGGAAATTTCAAATATTTGATTATTTGATGTGTATATAAAAAAAACACACTCCCAGATCATTTGCTTGTGTTGTTTTTCAAAACATATTATGTTCTGGTTGTTAACTCTTTAAAAATGTGTTTAAGAACTCCATGTTCACCAGTTTATGATTCTTAAGGTCCACTGTCCTGCAGTATTTATCTCCAACACTGATAAAGCACACCTGCTTGTAATCTTCAGGTAAGCCTGAAGACCTGATTAGCTTGTTCAGGTGTTTTTTACTGGGTTTGGAGCTAAACTCCAACAGGAGCAGAATTGAAGAACTAGTTACTGCTGTTATCATCACAATGAAATTGTGATTACTGGTTATTGACCACTATTGTGATCAGCAAAAGAAATAAAGCAACAAAAAGCTTCCGAAACCTTCTTACATTGTCTTATGGAGGTCCTTTATTCTTTTTTTTTTAATGATTTTACAATAGTAGTAGTTCTAGTTATGGTATTTTAGTGAAAATTATAGAAATTTAGTTTAGCGTATATTAAAGGGGCCTTTTTGAATAAAATTATTTATTAGGTGGGCGTGGTAGCTTTGTGGCCAAGAGCAAATTTGTCATTTCTCTCGTTCACCGATAGGTGGCAGTCGGCGTCATATTTCTGTTTTAGAGGATTATAAAAACAGGTTGTAAAACTAAGCTCTGTGAAACTGAAGGTTGTTCCTGGAAATGCTGTAAATACAGGTAACATGCTTTCACTGATAACGTAATCCTAACACGTGGCGTGAGAGTTAGTGCTGTTTAGCCAGCATGTTTAATACGATCGTTTGTGCTGAAGTATTATCAAATTTCAAATTGCAGCGCTCTGTGTTTGAATAGATGCTTTTCAACCTTTATCTCTCGTATGTGTTTACCATGGTTACCATAGTTTACGCCAAAACACCAACTGATTACTGTTGTAAAATGTAGTTCATCGTAAATGGCCAGTCAGTTATCAATATCAATTTCACAAAGGTATTTTATGGCAGCTATTTTGTGTTTCCATGCATACTTCAGGAAACAAGTGTTTGGTTATGTTCTGACATCAACACCAGGTGCACAGACAGTACTGAATGCTGTGATCCAAGAGGAAGTGCTTTTTCTGTCTTACTGTAAATGTGTAACGACTTTAACTTCCTCTTTTTGGTGTAGTGCGAGATAAATAATCTGTTTGCTGGTTCATATGACATATCCAGAATTATCATTGCGTGAGTGATTCTTTTGTAACTCACAAAATGGTCCATAATGTGATCACGTTGATCATGCTTCAGCTGAACTTGCTTGAGTTTAAAATGTTTAGCAAAAAAAAACAAAAAACAATTTGTTCTAACTGTACAATTAAATAAAAAAATTAAATTAAATATAAAATATATAACATCAAAAAAATATTAAATGTTTATTTTATAAAAATATTTGCATACAATAAAAAAAAAAAAAATGCTGTTTTGTATTTTGAGTATAGTGATGTCATTATTGTGGTGCATATTATCTATGTGTGTATCTAGGTGAAAAATCAACATTGTCTTTAACAGAGGCTCTTACATAAGTAGGTTTTTGGAATCCCTCCTTGAGGGTAACAGATAATATGAGAAATGCAATCTATAGTTTTGCTGCAGTGATCAGTTGTAAAACAAACAACAACAAAAAAGTTCCAGTTTGTGCAGATGTTTTGCTCTGTTGTTATGCGAGAGCAGTTCGTTGGTAGATTTGGAAGGAGAGGGTGATGCTTTTCTGCATTTTTGATGTCATTTCACAGAAATAATCCTCTAACACTTTTTGTTTCTTTTCTTCTTCACATTCTGAAATGCGGCACAGCTGTAAATGCATGTGAAGCTGATGTTTCTGTGGATAATCTGGATATATTTAACTCTTATAGACCTGGTTGTACCGGTGCTGCCAGAAAAGGCCATGAATGCCAAAAAGATGACCAAGAGGTGTGGAATGTACTTCAGTCCTGAGGATCTACTGCTGAAGATGTAACCAGTAATAATGAAGCACAGATACAGTTTAATCATAGATCACATACAGATCATACAGTGCTAGATTTTCATCCTCCTTCTCCACCAGGTTGAGGGAGAGAAGACACCCTCTGTCACTTACAATTAAGATGGGTTGTTATTAATTAACCAGGATTACAGGGTTTAAATCTCTTCACAAGGTTATTATGAATAACCTGCAGTTGATCAATGTTTAATCAGCTGTTGACAGACAGTGATGTTACAGTCGATCATCTTTCCCCATAAACCTTTCTTTCTTTGTTTGGTTGCCAGAAGCTGCGATTTGATGATAAGAGTGGGATTCTGAAGGAGGCCTAACTTACAAACTAGTTATCTATTAGATTGTTAAAATCGAACCCTAGATAAGATAAAATGTAACTCATTCATGAAAACACCTTATTGATAAGGAACTACATTTACATAGGATCTTCTAATTCACAATATACACTACTGTTCACTTTTTTCATTTTTTTCTTTTTTGAAGTAAATTAATACTTTTCTTCAGCATACTTAAAATGATCAAAAGTGACAGTAAAGACATTTACGTTACAAAAACATGGACTTTCTATTTATCAAAGAATCCAGAAAAAAAGTATCTTAGTTTCCACAAATATATTAAGCAGCACACCTGTTTTCAACATTGATTATAATACATTAAGTGACAATGTTACAGTGTTTCTTGAGCACCAATTCAGCATATTAGTATGATTTCAGAAGGATCATGTGACAATTAAGACTGGCATAATGATTCTGAATATTCAGCCCAAACTATAAAATATGTTAAAATAGAAATCAGTTATTTTTAATTATTAACAATATTACTGTTTAACAATATATCTTAATATTACCGTTTATATATAACAAGAGTTTTTTTTTTTTTTCAACTGTCTCTTGCTTTTAGTTCATTAAGACTCGGTGTACCATTGTGATTTGTACAGGTTTCGTAGATTTGCACTAAAAAGCCTAAGCAGAGAAAGAGAGAGATAGAGATCGAGATTGACTGAGCATGTGCAATTACCTGTATCTGTCCTTTTTCAGGTCAAATCATATATTTGCAAAAAATAAAAAATAAAAAATCAGTTGTCTAAAGATGAAAGCGACCAGCGTCTGTTCTGGTCAAAGCACTTAATCAATGCCACTGATCTCTATGAAGTGAAATATCAGCTTCAGCGTTACCCCAAGTGACATGTTGCTTGTTGACTGAGCTTTGTAAAGTGGCACTCAAAGTTCAACTAATTTTAACACCATGAATGAATTAGCATTTTTAAACATTAGTTGAAAGAATGTTTTAATGACTCACTCATAAAGGTAGCCATTTGCTGCCACCTACTGGCACAACAATGTAACTTGCACTGACTGACAGCCTGTTTACAACAGTGTCCAGTCAGATTTGAGAATCGGAACTAACTGTTATGCATATAATAAAACTCCACAAGCTTATTTATATTGCAAAATATATATATTAGGGCTGGTAAGCGATTACAATTTTTAATCTAATTAATTACATGATGTCATGTGGCGATTAATTAATCTAATTAATCGCAAATTATTCGCACATCAAATTTGGCTGAGAAATTATTCCCAAAAGATAATTTAAAGTCATTGTTGTGTAAAGCATCAAACAGACATTTCAAAAAGTAGCTTCAGCAAGAAATAGTTTTATAAAATTGATTGCATATACTCTTTTGGACCATGAGGGTGAGTAAATGATGACACAATTGT